TACATGCTATAGCTTGAGCTCACACTTAGAAATGATCCAGGACAAACAAGAATGAAGTAGAAGTGTTTAACTGAATGTTTTGCTAAATATACACAAGAAAAATGAATTTGCTCAATCTATCTGGTCACCTAAAAGGACATCGGACAATCACTACTACTCATACGAGGTTGCACCAGAGGATGATGTGTCAGTGTAATTGCGCTGCCACCGACAGGGTGTTTTCCTGGAAGCCAAGAATTGAGGTGGGGCGGCCTCGTCAAGATAACATGTACTTCCTCCGTTTTTTAGTCTGCATATAAGATTTAATCAAAGTCAAACTTTGTTAACTTTGATTAATTTTATAGGAAAAATATCAAGATCCACAATATGAAATTAATATTTTTAGATGCATCATGAAATAAAGTTTCATGCCATATAGCTTTAGTATTGTAGATGTTAATATATTTTTTATAAAGTTGGTCACACTTTACAAAGTTTGACTTCGACCAAATCTTATATGCAGACTAAAAAAATAGAGGGAGTACAACAATTCTCAGCTCGCAGATAGTCAGGCATCGTCCGCATCGGACGTCCCTGCAGTCCGTGAGCACGCATGGGGCGCGGACGACGGAAGGTGAATGCTAGCATACACATCATCTCCGGCATTGGGCATGCCGTGCCAGCGGAGAGCGCCCTGAAGCACCCGCATCCCAACGTCCTTGGCAACGAAGGTCTGGACCTTCTGCCGGGTGGACTGTCCGGCAGCGCAGGCCTGGACGACACGACCATCTTTCCCACTGGGATCCGCCATCTCTCCCTCTCGAACGGCGTGCACAACAAGATCTGGAAAGAGAGATCGATGTGTCTGGATTTTGTGCGTTTGAATTGGGCAAAGGACTATTGTCCGTCCACGGCGGAGCAAATCTGACCGCTGCGCCCAACCGACGAACGCATTTCGTCTGGGCTTGTAAGAAAATAAACTGAGATAGCCCATAGCTAAAGCCATGGCAACGACCATAGTTCATGCCGGCCAGAGCGTCAGCGGCCGGCACACATGCCAGCCTACAAAATGGTCACTTCACAGTTCACGCCGGCACACTAACCAGCGGTTGACACACTTGCCAGCACACAAAAACAGCCATAGTTCATGCCTTGCGGACCCTAGTTCATGCTGGCATGCAAAATGATGTCGCACTTGGTCGTAATTCAATCATCTAGCTCGAGCATCATCGCCTTTTGCTTGTTCTCGAACTAACTTCTTCTTTTCGGGGACATCTTGCTCAAGTTCACCATCATGATCTACACCTCCTTCGCAATGAAAGCTAGCGCCACCTCTTTTGCTTTGGTGTTCACATCAGTCGCCTCAATCTCGAGCTTCTTCATTTGGACGGCCTCCTTAATCTTGAGTTTCCTCTTTTTGATGGCATCCTCCATCTCGGGCTTCCTAGCTTGGAGCTCAATGTAGGCCTTCATTTGCTCCTCTTTTCTTGGCGCTTCCTCACGGCCCTTGCTTCCTTGTGGGTCATCATGCCTTGCAAACTTTTTTGCAAGGCGAACGATGCCGCATCACACTTCTCGTCCACCTTGGAGCTGGTTTTGCCACGCGGCCGCTTCTCTCCTTCTCCATGCTCAACGACGGCCGCCGGCCCATCATTCTTCTTTAGGGCGGCATATTGCTCTTTAGGCAATCTTTGATGAGCGTCCAACAATGGGTGAGGGTGAATGGCTTGTTCCCTTGTTGGGCCTCGAAGGCCATGGCGGTGGCGGTAATAATGGTCGGTAGGGGTCGGCTAAACACTAGCATGAGGAGGGCGTGCTGCATCGTCGCCTGCTTGGCCTTGGTGACCAGGGTCTCGTTATCCTCACCGGCGGCCCTGGCGTCGTCGACGACGGCCTGGGCAGCGGCTTTCCTCTCCGCAGCATTGGTCCTACAGCCAGCCCTCTTCGTCATTTCTCGGGTGAGCTGCTTCGCCGTGTGCACCTTCTTGGGCTTCTTCTTTTTCAGGGTCAAGGGGCGGACGGGATGGCGGCGGCGGCTTGCTTTGGTGCGGTGGCCATGGCGGGAGCCGGAGGGCATGAGGGTTTTGGGAAGAGAAGGGGAAATGGGGACGTTGTGACCCAACGGATGGGCTAGGGGAGGACAAGGACGGGTGTCGCGCACGTCCACGCCCTGTCCGTTTCAACGCAAACGCGGTCCAATTTTGGGCTGAAATGGATCTCGGAAGGACAGAAAATGGACGCCCATCCGTTTGCGTCGGTGCATTGGGCCACGTTTTTGTAGTCTGTTCCGATCCAAATGGATAGAGACGGATCAAATGTGGTCGTGCATTGGAGTTGGCCTAACTACAACAACGATTGTACAAGAGGTGGGGCGCTCACCCAACTAAACTCCGGCGGTCACCGTGGAAGAGAGTGGAGGGGCGATGGCGAGGAATCTAGGAGGGGTTCTCAAAGATTTGTTTGTTTCGGGAGAGAAGGAGAAACCTCCAGAGTATTGGTTTGTGTTTCAGATGCCTTCTCCAAAATTCTGTCCGACGCTTTGAGAACCCGAAACAAACCAATACTCTGGAGGTTTCGGTAGAGAAGGAGAAACCTCCAGAGTATTGGTTTGTGTTTCAGATGCCTTCTCCAAAACCTCCTAGTAAGTTTCGCCAAGTGGGATGTTATTTGTCGACCAAAGGACCAAGGGGGGTTGGGTATCGAGAATCTTGAGGTCAAGGACAGATGCCTGCTTAGTAAGTGGCTGTATAAGCTTTCAGTTCAGAGTGACGCAACTTGGGCGCAGATTCTCCGCAACAAGTATCTGCATTCCAAAACTTTGTCATAGGTGACAGTGAGATCAACTAATTTGCCATTTTGGAAGGGGCTTATGAGAGTTAAGGCAGCCTTCTTTAATAGAACAAAGTTTATTGTCGGTGATGGCAATGATACACGGTTCTGAGAGGATACTTGGCTGGGTGATACACCATTGGCACTACAGTACCCAACCCTGTATCGTATTGTTCAGCGACGTGATGCGCTAGTTGCAACGATTATGCAGTCCATTTCCCTTAATATTCAGTTTCGGAGGGTGCTTGTTGGTGATAGATGGGAAGCTTGGCTTCATCTGGTGCGTAGACTGATGGAAGTTCAGCTAGCTCATCAGTCCAATCAGTTGTGTTGGAAACTTACTAGCTCTGGACAATTACTGTTAAGTCGATGTACATCGATGTTATTAACTCGACTGTCATTCCTAGTTCCAAATATGTTTGAAAAGTAAAAGTTCCTTTGAAAATTAAAGTGTTTGTGTGATTTGTTCATAAACAGGTTATTTTAACAAAGGACAACTTGGTTAAGCGCAATTGGACAGGATCTACTAGGTGTAGTTTCTGTGATCAGGACAAGACCATTAAGCATCTCTTCTTTGAGTGTCCGTTGGCGAGAATTCTGTGGCGCACCATGCAAATTGCCTTTAACATTACTCCGCCGAGTTCGATCGGGTCGTTATTTGAAACGTGGCTTGATGGGATAGAGTCCAATACAGCTAGACATATTCGTGTAGGAGTTTGTGCGTTGTTACGGGGCAATTTGGAACTGGAGAAATGATTTGGCTTTTAACAGAATAACTACTATTCATTTTTTGCAGGTTGTATTCCATGCTACGGCGCTGATCCGTATGTGGTCCTTACTCACTCCAACGGAGGCCAGAGAGCATTTGGTTACTGGATCTGTCCGGTGGGAGATGGTAGCGCGGGATATCTTCAACCGGTTTGGATGGCGGTCATGTAATATGATAGGCAATTAGTTTTCCTATCTTTATTTTGCCAGCCGGTTGTGGGTTTATGCCCTTTTCTTGTTTTGGCGTCGAGGCTCTATATGAGCTCGCTTTTATTTTGTTTCAAGACTCTATGACATTGTTGAACCTATTTTATTTATTTAAGTGTCCGTATGCATCGTTCTGATGCAGAGGCCGGGGAGTCCCCCTTTTCGAGAAAAAAAATTCTGTCCGACGCGCAGGGTGTTTTCGCAACAGGTGCAAGTTCAGTGGCTCGGGACAGCCGGTCTCATTCTCAGCCTTAGATTTCAGATTGGACGGTGCAAATGACATAAAGGCAGACACACTGCCATCATCAACTGGCATTTTTATAGGAAGAAAATAGAGATAATATATACGTGCAGTGGTGTTGTGTCCTCTGCATCGATTTTGGAGAACATTCTTTTGAGTAGGAGCACATACCGTTTTACTCTTGGACCATATGTAACTTGCATCTTCTTCAGGATTTATTCTGCGCTGCTTCATATGTGTTCCTCTGCAGCTCCTTTGAATGTACGAATGATGATGTTACAAAGTGCAGTGATTTAAGCAGTTAACACGAGCTACCGGTGTGCTGCCTGCAGTTCCCCTGGAAGCCAGGAGTATATATATTCAAGGATTGGGTTTACAATTGTAAGCATGTACTCGAGAAGTATTTTGGAACGGAGGGAGTATTCTCCAAAGATCTGAAAATATAGAAAATAGTCGCACCTCTCGTGTCTATTACCTTTCGCATGTGTTCTAACACAGTCTCAACAAAATTCAGAATCCAGAGACGAAAAAGCTATTGTCTGCAAAACTATCCGTGTTCAAACTTGCCCTGTACAAATCTACTCAAGTTAACAAGCTTGGACTTCATAATAGGTGTTACTCGAGACTTGATCTCTATTCTAGAACTCTCTAGGCGATTTCACCGGGTGAGTAGGCAACATCAGTCGGGCGCAAAGAACAACCTAAACGGTGCGTGAATGTTCCTTTTGCTCCTTGCACAAAGACGACCAGGTTCACATTACATCAAGCAATCCAAAACCCACCTCCAGTGAGGCAGCCATCACGATCCTCGGTGCCCTTCTTCTCTTGTGCATTCATGGATGATGAACTGCCTGCAAAACCATGGGACGTGCAGACGTTAGAGCGAAGTCGTAAAAATATGAACATTGATTTATCGAACGTCAATATAATAACACGATTGAAAGGTGAAGGCAGATATCTCATGTACTTGATCATGTCAGCAGACTTTGAGTCGCTTGATGCTGCGCCGTCGTCCTTCTCTTGATTCTCCGGTTTCTCTCGTAATCGTATCCTCGTAGATGAAGTTCTGATCCGACCCCTCTGAAGAAATGCACAAGCAGTTCCCTTGTAAGAATCTTGCCGTGTCACCAAACTCTACGAAAACAGACTAATTTGAGGATCTCTATTCATAATCTTGTACTAATACCCCACAAAAATGTACATCAATGAGGACTGGCAGGCTGATTGATCATTTATTATTTTTTCTTTGGACTGTTGGTCATTTATTCTTGGTAAAACACATACTAGCTGAGTAAAGTAGTCGGTGCTACGAAATCTATTTATTCAAGACAAACATAAGTTGAACTAGCGCCATATGCACAGATACGAGATATAGTATATCTTTGACAAACAACGTACCTGCAGTGCTAGAAGGGGAGCGTCCGCGCTTGCCAGAATGGCATGGGGAAGATCGCCCAGAGCTCGTCGCGCTTGCTTGGGAGTAGGACTGTCGCACCGTCTCAGTGGACGACGCATCATCATCATCATCTTCTTCTTCTTCCACACAAAGCGCCTCTCCATCTCCCTGATTCCCGCAGCAAGGTGGTCTGGTCCGCTCAACCTTTGCTCTGTCAACCTTGGACGGTTGCTTGGGCCCAGAAGCTCCTGGGGAGAGATCGAAGAGCCCCCTGAAGCTGATTTCGCCGTCGTGCAACCGGTTCACGAACGACTCCTGCAGCAAGCCTAGGTAGAGCATGTGCTTCTGGTCCGTCCATCCGGCAGAAGAGCACACCACCATCACGTCCTGCCACAGCAAAGAAACAACTCCATGAATCTCATGATTCAGAGCTGCGCAAGAGCCGAACAAATCCGCAGGTAACTACACGGGGAAGACGATGACGAAGAGAACGCTTACCGGAAAGCGCGCGAGCTCCCGCAGGCCGGCCCGCCCCTCCTCCTCCTCCATCGTCGTCTCCTTTCGCAGCACCGCACTACCAACCAGAGAGAGAGAGAGAGAGAGAGAGAGGGGGGGATGAAAAAAGAGAAAAGATCTCGAATGCTAGCTCTCGCCACGGCCGGCCGATGGAGGTTTCTCTTTTATTTCCTTCGTGGCGCCGCTTTTCCACGTGGCCTCAGGGGGGGCGGTAAATATCCGCCACAGTGTCACGCGGCGAGCGCGTGCGGCAGGTGGGGAGGGTCTCGCCGCGCTGCACGCACCGCCTACCTCGTGCCCGCCTTGTTTATTCCGATCCGGATGGTTCGACGACGATACCGCGGCCAAGATATTTTCAGACACCACCATCTCGCGTTTGGTACAAAGAAGAAAGACTTTGGATATTTTTCCTCAGCACAAACAAGCCAAAGATGATATTTTCTGGTCGATGGTAGTAAGGTTTGGGTTCCGAATGGGCATGGGCTGGTATCTGTCGTGACGTCGCACCCTTGTCCTTGTAGTAGCAACTTGTGCTATTCCATGCCATCTTTTTGATCCTTTCTCAGCTACGTACTAATTAGGTTTTGCTTCGCCACGACCGGATGTTCGAGTGCCTTTGGAAAGCAACCGCACGTTGTGCCTACGATCGATCGCCTGTTTTGGTTTTGTTTCGGTGATTATTTTTACCACAAGATCGAGTGCTATCCAATTCTATCTACCCATGATTCATCAGCTGTCGCGGTCGCCGATGAGTTCGGTGGTCGCTATCCTCAACAGAACGGAGCTGCGTCCGGTCAGAGAGAAGATCGGCGAGGAAGATGGATAAGACTAGGGACCCGAGATATTTTCGCCGGCGCGCTGAAAAGATCTGGGTCGCCGCGGCGGCGCTGACGAGGCTGTGACGAGCACTGACTTCACCCGCGTGGTGGCCTTGTGGGCAGCTCGACCAGGGGGTGCGAGGTGACATGGACAGCGCGTGAAATAATACTCTTTTAATCGATGCAGCTAGTAGTATAATGCAAAACAAATAGTAGTAAGACTCAACCACCTCCAAGAAAAAACCATTTCGATCACCCATGTGAAACAGTGTACTACCACCAAAATATCATCAGCTTTTCATATAGCAATACAAACTCCCTCGTAATATTGAGTGAATTGCAGAAAACCATCATATTAACGCACAGACTTGCAGAAAAGACTCTTTTACGAATTTGAGCCAGAAAACACTGATTTTTGGTCTAATCTTTTGCAAAAAACACTGATCAGCCTATTTGGACATTTTAACCGCGATTATGACATGTGGGGTCCCTGGTATTTTTACAGAGGCACCCTTCAATTTGAACAAAAAAATGCAATGAGGCCCTTCCCACACCAGCTCAGCCGAACTCTGCCGCTGGCCATCTCGCGCTCGTGCGATGTCGCCCACGCCGGTGCCCCGCGGCGACAGAGCTCATCGACGAGGGTTGCTGCCTGGCTGCGCCCGTGCTATGCGCCGCTGCTGCTGCTTGCGCCCGTTCGGCGCGCCGTTGCTTGCTTCGGTGATGTGTGCCGCTGCTTGCTCTTCTTGGCTCCGGTGCTGCCCGCCGCCGCCGCTGCTCGCGCTCGTGCTGTGCGCGGCGGCGCCGCTGCTTGGGCTTGTGCTTCTCCCCGCCGCTGCTACTTGCTCCGATGCCGCTGTCGCTTCAGGGAGGTCGTAGGCGATCCGTGCGCCGGTCGTTGCACTGCCGCCGTGCCTGAAGGAGGAGGCCACGAGCGTTCTGAGTGGATTCGGAGGCCAAAGCCGCCGCTAGCCCCCGCCCCATGCTTCCAGGAGCAGGGCGCCGGCCGACCCGTGCGGCTCAGCCATGGCCGCCGGCCTCGACCTGGACTAGGCTTTTTTTTCGGGGTTGACCTGGACTAGGTTGTGGCCATGGCGGCGCGAGGATAGAGCCGCCGCAGCGCAGCAACGAGGCGGCGAGCATCTTGGCCTAGGCCGGGGCGGTGGTGGCTTGTGGGAACGGCGGCGGGGGCCTGAATCCCGATTGGATCGGGAAGGGAAGGGAGATTTCATTTTGTTTTGACGAAGGGTTCTTTTGAAAAACATCAGTTTGCCACATCATCAAATGCGGGCTCCACATGTAGCACAGTTAAAATGTCCAAATATTCCGATCAGTGTTTTTTGCAAAAGATTAGACCAAAAATTAGTGGTTTCTGGCCCAAATTCGTAAAAGAGTGTTTTCTACAAACCTATGCGTCAATGTGGTGGTTTTCTGCAATTCACTATATGCTTCCTCGCGTTCACAAACAAAGTACCATCTCGCGAAAGGAAATATTGGAACGTCTTACATTTTGGAACGGAGGGAGTAGAACTTTGTGTTTGGCAACATATCAATAATGCCAGAAACGTCATTTACTTTTCAACATGGGCACCAGGGGGTAGTATTAGTAGTATACAATGGATCTGGGGAAGAAGTCATGATGTCCAAACATAAATACACGAAGAAATTGTCAAGATTGGGCAGAATTAACTTATTCACCCCCTGTGAGATTCCAGCATTAATACATGATGATGGTGTGATACCGAAATGAATCACCGAACCCCCCTCAAGCGCTTTATTTGCAATCACTCAGGAGCGGAT